GATAACCTGAGTTCCTTATTGGGGCATGTAGCTGAGGCGAAAGCCTACACACACAATGTCACATCGTAGCAATTACAACCGGCTGGGATTTTTAATTTCATTGTTTTGATTCCTTGTTTTGTGTTTGTCCTATTCAACTAAAATACAGACTCCATGAGAGGACCTTGTCTTTTTGTTTCACTGGGGATTTCAAAACCGGTAATAGTGTATGGCATAGGACAAGCATTTAATAGTCTGTTGAATAAATAAGTGAGCAAAAGGCGAATTCTACGGAGGCCTGTCTTTTCTATCTCAACTATGATCCTCGGAAATAAGGTCAGCTTATTTGAATAAGCACCCGCGTCGACTCCCTAGCCTTTACTGTGCGCTGCCTGTGCGGGACCTGAAAGTAACAAGTCAGTCCGGGGTAGTTGAGGTAGGAGCTTGAACACAAGCAAGGCATGAACTGTCTGTAGTTCATATCGAAGTAGGTTAATTCAGGAAAATGGTAGATTCCAAACTGATACATTTTCTCTCTACTGGAATGACCCGGCACCGTGGGTCTTGATTTTAAGAGGCCATGTTCCGAGCATCTTGGGGAGTTCCGAATTTTAGTTCCTGCACTGGCCTGATTTTCCACTGTATTTCTTTCTATTCCACTAAGGGTTTTCAAGGTCATTTACTAACCCCTGCCTCTCATGAGCCATCGATGAGTAACAAACTCCATTCATCTCAAGCTCTACAAGAGCCGCCAACTGGAAGGCTTTTGCAGCCAGATGAGGCTTTCCAGATGGGTCTTGCCTCGTGAACACACACCCTCCGGGCTCCCTTTTCTCTGTCAGCCTCGGCTTGGGTTCTGTCTGTGTGATTCCCACCTTGACCACAGGAGCTCAGAGGACCCCACTTCTTCCCCTGCATCTCAGGTTAGCTGATGGCTCTGGAGGCAGTACTCTCAGGCTGTGGAGACTGGCTGCGAACAAGTGTTTTCGAAACTGTTGTTTATCTTTTCTGGGTATTTGTGACACTTTCAGGAGCCAAGAAAACGCGTGTCTTTTTTACTTCTGTGCCACCAAGCTCTGTGGTGTTTCTTCAGCAAGCAGCAGCCTGGAACACTGCCTTCTGATCTTCTGATCAGCCACAGGTCTGCTCTCTAGAGGATTCTCCACTGATACGCACACTTTCCCACAGCCAGCAGGGGGCATCTACGACACAGATTTAAACTGAATTGACTTTACATTGGATTGTCCCTGAGAGGGGACGGTTTGGGGACACCTCTTTGGGAAATGTAAAATCCCTGTTCTATGCTTCCCCATCTTGGCTTTCCTCTTGACCGTTCCCAACATACGTCTGGAGTCTGGAATGAAAGCTGTGGTTACCACATGTCTTCCAACCGCAAGACTGGTCTTTGCCTCCGGGCTACTTCTGTTTTTAAGTCCTGATAAATTACGGCCTCACAATAGATTCTGATCAGACCCTTAGGGGTTGTGATTGCCTCCCCCACCTCTTCTCCCAGGAGTAGACCCTACCTGGCTTAAGAACTGACTGAGCATGCTTAGTTTGAGCCTTACTTGCCTTTCATCCTCTTTAACAGCTAAAAAAGGAATTTCCTTCCTTTAGAGTCCTTGTAGTCATTCAGTGGCTTTTCACCTCTCCCCGTTAACCAAATTAAAAAACACCCGAGTCTTGGGCACCTGAGGTGGTTTAGTCGGTTAAGCGACCACCCCTGGATTTTGGCTCAGGTCATGATCTCACGGTTTTGTGGGCTCGAGCCCCAGGCCAGGCTCTGTGTGCTGACCACACGGAGCCCGCTTAGGATTCTCCCTGTCTCTCTGCCCTGCCCCCGCTCGTAGTCTCTCTTTCTCTAGATAAATAAATAAGCAAATTTAAAAAAAATTCTGGTTTCAGGGATATATTCTACGCCACACCCCGGTATTTCACTTGCCCCACACCAAAATGCAGTTTTACTCTAAGTGAGCAATTCATGAATTCATTTACTGGGTCTTCAATTTTCATAGCAGATTTTTTTTTTTTTTGAGCACCTATTTTTTTTAATTTTATTTTTAATTTTACTTTAATTTAATTTGTTTGAATTTTGTTTACTTTTGAGAGAGAGACAGACAGAGAGAGAGAGGGAGAGAGAGAGGGAGACCTGGAATCTGAAGCAGGCTCCAGGCTGTGAGCTGTCAGCACAGAGCCCAGAGTGGGGGCTTGAACTTGGGAACCACGAGGTCGTGGCCAGAGCCAGAGTCTGACACTTAACCATCTAAGCCACCGAGGCACATCTTTTTTGAGCACCTATTAAGTGCCAGGCCCTGAGCAATGACGTGCTGACATTGGAATCGTGAACAAAACAGATATTGACCCTGCTCTTGGAGACCTGTCACTCCAGGGGGAGACGGAGACAAGACCCAAATAAACATACAGAGATGCATGTGCAAATTGATAAGGGCCGAGAAGGAAAAATACAGAAGGCTCTACAAATACAATAGGGGCAACTGTTAGAGTTTCGTCTCCCTTTGCACTGTCTTCATGTTGCCACATGAGTACCCATTTGAGCTCCTTGAAGTTAGGGCCTGTGTCCATTAATTGGTATATCCCAAGCACTGTGGTCAGTGACTAGAAAATTATCGACCATATAATTTACACGTATGTGCCCTACATTCACCTATTCCAAGTGTCTCCAAAGCAAAGAACCATCTCTGTAACCCTTGAAACACCTCTCACAGGACTTTATATATAGTTGGCTATTCTATATCCTATATTCTACTTGAATATAATTGCATTTTTATTTCATTTTATTATTTTTGATTAAAAAGATTTTTTTAATGTTTATTTTTGAGAGAGAAAGAGAGAGTGTGTGAGCGAGTAGGGGAAGGGCAGAGAGAGAGGGAGACATAGAATCCGAAGCGGGATCCAGGCTCCGAGCTGTCAGCACAGAGCCCGACGTGGGGCTCGAACCCACGAACTGCGAGATCATGGCCTGAGTCAAAGTTGGACATTTAACCAACTAAACCACCCTGGCACCCCTATAATTGTATTTTTAAAAATCCAGCTATAGTTCTGTTTTGATTGATTGCTTCAACTGTTTTTCATACGTGTGCACCTTAAGGTAGTATCTCTGACTCAATTCACGCATAAGAAGGAAGGACTTAGGTGGCCCAGGGCCTTTGGAAATTTGATTTCCTGGCCAGTATACCCACAGAAGGCACAGATATAAAACCACAAACCCTACAACTATTCCAACCCTTTTCAGTTTGAAATCGCTAACATGAGTCATCTACAAAAAGAATTATCTCCCTCTGAGCCTTTAATTAAAATCTCACCCAGGCATTTCCAATTGATTTTATTTCAAAACAAGGTTTTCTTTGTAAAACAAAAGCGTACCGAGACGGGGGTGAGATGGGAGGAGATAAAAACTGCTTCCTGTTCACCAGCATTAATGTAATGTAGCCAGAGCGGTCAAACCGAGCGGAGAATGAGTGGAAATCATAAATGTGTTAGAATGTCTTCTTCTCTAGATGGAGTTGTTTTTGACATTGAGTTAATGTCAGATACATTCAAGTTGATTTTTAAGAGGGGGAGTAAAATGATAGGGTTGAGCTTTTGTTTTGTTTGATTTTCCACTTGGTTTATGTTGATCACAGATGTGTGTGTAGCTATGGTGGGGAGGAAGAGGCAAGGGGGAATGCGACCGGTCTGTTCCAGGAACTCCTGGGGAGAAAAACAAATGTAGTAACATTGTTTATTCTTGCAAAAAAACATAGAAGGTTTCAAATAGCTTCGACTGCAGCATCTGCCAACGGCTTCATCCTTAAACTCTTAGTGTCTTGTAAGAGATGCAATCGTGTTATTCATTCTCCATATTCCTGCAAACTCCTAATTAAACCAAATGGACTTCCTGACTTAAGGACCCTCTTTAACATCTGATATTTGAACACACATTACGCCAAGATTTGAAGCTATGGGAAGAAGTATTTCCCAAAGCCCTGCATTTCCTTTCTCCTTTACATCCCCAGGGCAAATATGAGGAAAAGAGTAACCTGACGTTCTGGTATATGTTTATCAACTCTGAGGAAATGGAATGTAATTTTCTATAGGCAATGTTATAAATGGCCATTGATTTCTAGAACATCCCATGAAAAGCTTATTTAAGCAGTGATGCAGATGAAATTGTACTAGGGTTCTGATTGATTCTGGTTTTTAAATTTATTTTTTATTTTATTTTATCTTTACATTTATTTATTTTTGAGAGAGAGAGAGAGAGAAACAGAGTGCAAGCGGGGGAAGGACAGAGAGAGAGGGAGACACAGAATTCAAAGCAGGCTCCAGGCTCTGAGCTGTCAGCACAGAGCCTGACTTGTGCTCGAACCCACGAACCGTGAGATCATGACGTGGGCCGAAGTCGGATGCTCAACTGACTGAGCCACCTAAAATGATTGATTCTGGTTTTAAAAGGCTTTTGTGGGACATCTTAAAAATTTGACCACCTTTATAAAAAACCATGTATTTTTATGGGAAAGTACATCCTGAAAGAGTTAACAAAAGAAAAACCCAAGACAGATTGAGTTTGTATGCCACCTGTCTACACCCAGTCTTTGAAGGCACCTTTCTACACCACACTTCAATTCTTTTTTGTTTTCTCATCTAAATTATGCAGGCTGAGCGCCGTCCAGAGGCTCCTCTGCTATCCCTGTCTTCAGGAAGGGGAGGCAGATGGCCGGCCTAACCCGCCTGTCTGCCTCCCATCACCTGGAGACTGGGCAGACCACTTGGGCCTCCTCCGGCTAGACGGGCAAGCCACCTCCCTCACGCTTTGCTGGAAGGCCTCCCCATCTGTTGCCCGCTTTGCTCCTCGAAGACTCGACTTCTGCCCTTGGGCCAGAGATCTGCTGCCCTCTGGAGCCTCTCCTTGAAAAGCTGCTTGTGATCGCTTACAAGTTTGGGGCTTCAGTGGGCTAGAAGCACCTTGAAGGCAAGGACCAAACTCTGTATGTGTGCGGCGAGCTGCTGACACAGTCAACATGACCAAGGAGGAAATTAACGGGGTGCCGGTGGCTCAGTCAGTTAAGCATCCGGCTCTTGACTTTGGCTCAGGTCATGATCTCCCAGTTCGTGGGCTCATGTCGGGCCCAGCTAGAGCAGCCCAGAGCGTGGAGCCTGCTTCGGATTCTGTGTCTCCCCCTCTGTGTACCCCTCCCCAACTCATGCTCTGTCTGTGTCTCTCTCAAAAATAAATACACGTTAAATTTTTTTTTTAAAGGAGGAAATTAAAAAATGAAATTTAACAGAACTCCACTCCTTGTAACTTACCCCTTCGTGTCCAACCTGCTCTTTGGCCAGCAATCACATACAAATATCTCTCTTCCTTTTACAAAAAGCAATGGCTCAAGCGGAGCAAAAGACACAGGGAGAAGAAAAAGAAACAGAAACTGAAAGGGGGGAAAAAAAAACAACCCCCAAACTTCAAGAACCTTCCAAACAAAAAAACCAAGCATATGAGAAACGTTCTAAATGTTGGTGTGTGAACTACTGAGTCAAGGTTGAGACTGAAAACAGCTGCTTCATGCACCAGTTTACTTAAGGGTGGGGAGTCAGGGGATATGGGGCCAGAAGGAGAGCATATTATGGGTGAAGTTCTTCAAGAACTGAGTGGGATATTATGACCTGACCCCAAAAATGGACCTGGTGTTTCTGGCACACCAGCCAGCAGAGGGTAGCTACAAATACAGCATGCATCGCCCCTGCCCCTGCCTTCGTAATATCTTCTTTCTTTTCCAGATAAATATTAAATTGGTGACTCTTGTCTCCAGAGCTAGAATATGGCAGGTGGTGGGTGTAGAAATTCTTAGTAACTGGTGGGAATCTTTTTGGATGTTTTAATTTGGTACTTGAAGCTAGGGAACATGGATGAGCTTAGTTGGAAAAATGATTATGCAGTTAGAACTAACTTTGAAGAAGCACTATTATATGCCAAACACTGTGCTGATTCACATGCATTAGCATATTTAATCATCACGAGAAAGAGGATGTACTATTTTATCGGTCCCATTTTCTGGGCAAAAAATCCAAAACATTGGTTAATTTAAGCAACGTGAAGAGCTTGGAATCGAAATGACACTTATTCTCATGGTTTATATAAGCTCCCCCCGTGGAACTTTCCGGTTTCGACCAAAGTGCTGTTCTGGGTGCTGGGCTGTGGGATCTGAGCTGGCTTCAGCCAGAGGAAGGGTCCTAGGGAAAGAATGGAAGCAGAAAGAAATGAAAAGGAAAGGACATTGAAGTGACTAAATCTAAATCACAGTTTCAAAATTGTATTTATGATACTAAAGGAAACTATGATATGATTCAATATTTATACGTTTTTTTGGTAATGGTTACAGATTTCCTTAATTTTTTCTATCTAATATCCGTGATTGTTAATCTCACACATTTTCTTTTTTTTTTCCAAAACAAATTTATTTATTTATTTTGAGAGAGAGGAAGGAAGCACACACACCAGCATGAGCAGCAGAGAGAGAGGGAAAGATAGAATCCCAAGCAGGCTCTGTACCATCAGCACAGAGCCAGATGCAGGGCTCAAACTCACGAACCCCAAGATCATGACCTGACCCGAAATCAAGAGTCGGTTGCTTAATCAACTGAGCCACCCAGGTGGCTCACACGTTTTCTTTACTTAAATTGTCTCATCACTGTCTCCACGTGAATGGATGAGGAAAGTTTATTTAGAGCAGCCAAAGCCCATCTGGCCACAAGATGAATCCCATCATAGCTCTTGAAGACTTAGGTTAGGACCAGCATTGATGGGGAGAGAAATGTTAGCAGATTTGTCGGGAACAAAGTCAAGATCTCTTCAGTTCACTCTGGGTAATGTTTTTGAGTGTTGACTGGGTGGCCGGGCAATAAGCTCCCACAGGACTGACAGGTATTCAGGACTCAGAGCTTACCTTCACCTTCCAGCTGGGACAACAGACACATGAATCAATAACCATAATGCAATGTGATCAATCCTATCTTCAGAGCCTGTGCAAAGCACCAAGACGGCAGTGAAAGAACAGTTTTTTGGATCTATCAATATACAACAGCTTGCCTTACGGATTAATGCTTACAATTTGCTGGTGCTCTTGGAGTTCACGCTTGCCATGATAATTGATAACTTAGAAGGTTAGTTTTGAAACTCGGCATGAAAACAATTGCGTCCTATGGTCGTGGAATGCCCAGAATTCTGACTTCATCAACTCACTGAAATGTTGAGGATAGAAAGCAATGGTATGGTGCTGCTATGGTTGGCCCATTGGCAATTAATAGTCATCTACTGAAGGCTTACTGCATGTAAGATACTCCAGTAGCCATTATAGAACAATGGGCAAGTGGCTGGGGAAAAACCAAATCCATCTAAATAAAGAACACTTTATAGAGAATACATCTTCAGGCAGAATCATTTAATTATATAGCTCAAGATAGCTGAAGAAAACATCTAGGTTAACTCTGTCATTTTGCAGATGAGGGAACTGAGGCCTGGTGGTAAAAAATGATAAGTTTTTCAAATATTCTACATCCAATTAATGACGGATCTGGGACCGGGGTCCTCAGAGAACAAATAGGCAATGCAGTGAGTAGCTCACCTGTGAACTCTAGAGCCAGACTGTGTGGGCTCCTGTCCCATCTCCAGACTGGCTGGGTTATCTTAAGTTTTTATAAACACTCTGACTTTCAGTGTCTTCATCTGTAAAAAGGAATAATACCATAGTATCTGTCTTATATGAAAATGAAAGGATACATATAAACCAGTAATTAAGAATAAAATGAGGGGGTGCCTGGGTGGCTCAGTTGGTTGAGCGTCAGGTGTTGATTTCGGCTCGGGTCATGATCTCACTGTCACTTGGAGCCCCATGTCAAGCTCCACGTTAGGCATGGAGCTGCTTGAGATTCCCTCTCTCCCTCTTCCTCTGTCCGTCCCCTGCTTAAGCTCGATCTCTCTCTCTCTCTCTCTCTCTCAAAATTAGATTATGCGTATTAACCAGGAACATAATAAGAGCTTGATAAATGTTAATTATTAGAACTCACGTGTCCCGGTTTCTTCACCAGTATTCTTTCTGCCACAACAGTACAATGGGCTTTCGTTCATTTTTGTTTCTCTGACACAGAAAGAAATCTATGTGCCAGATCTGTGTGCTCATATGGTGTTTCCATTGCCCCTTATATCTTTTCTAGGGCCAAGGAGATTAAGACCAAGTTGGGAATTCTCCTCCAGAAGCCAGACTCAGCGGTTGACCTTGTCATCCCATACAGCGAAAAGCCGGAGAAACCAGCCAAGACCCAGAAGTGAGTCACAAACATGGGTTCCGCTCCTTTTCCTCCAGAGGATGGCTATTTCTCAGGTGTCCAGGACCAGCCCTCCCGTGTACAGCTCCCCGCCTTCGATCACTCGCCGAAGGTCATAAGATCCCTCAGAGAAGAGGTGGTTTATAAATAAGCGTATTTTTACCCTTCCATGTCTGGAGCATCATATTGGGTATTGGCAGGTGACTTAAAAAAATAAAGATAAGGCCCTGCCTTGGGACCCTGTTGGAGAGGCGGGCAACACCAAGGCAGCCGATTTAAGCCAACTAGCTCCTTCTCTAAAATACTATTCCTTCAGGGTCCAACAGAGGAGCAGAAGACTCTGTTCCCTGCCAGAGAAAGGAAGGAACACTCGACCAGCCGACTCTAATGTACATTAAGAGTTTTTAACCCCGATCCGTAAATTAATATTCTTGACTGGACTTCTCTCTCCTTTCCCCCCACCTCCCCACTTCCATCGATTCAGGCCTGGAGAGAAACTAGAATTCTCAAGATTCAAGCTGTCATGGTAGAGTCCAGCCGACCACTGGAGGAACTGTCCTCATAGCACCCACGTCATTTTCATCTCCATCCACCCCCTCGAACATTTTCACGGGCATGAAAATCAAGAAGGGCAAGTGGGTAGGAGAGAAAACAGATGCAGTCGAATTCCTTCACTCTGCCATCTAAAAGCTTTGAGGAGATCACAGAAGCGTGGTGAAAACACAGGCACCCCTTTATACCTGAATTTCTTCTTAAACGTAACATACGTATAAATTGGCCAATCATTTCTTTGTCCAAATGCCCTTCGAGCTAAGATAGCCGGGTGGGTTGGGAGAGGAAGAGACGGGTTATTCCTCTTAAATCTTTTTCCTTCAACCTAAGTGGATATCTCCATTCTCCTCTTATTACTTCAAAGTGATTCCACACCGGAAGTGAGGCGTAATTGGGTTTTCTGCATTTAGAAAGGGGAAGCTAATTCAGGGTGGAGTGGCTCGCACCAGGCACTGGCAGGGAATGAGAAACACATTTCATAGCAGCGACAGATCAAAAAAGCCATCTATTTTGAAGAAAACAATGTAGCGGTTATGGATCTGTAGGAATTCACTTTCGGAAATAAATATAGTACTACATTTCCTGCTTTGATTCTCTGTTTTAATCTTGCACACAGACACTCGAGCTATTTGGCTTAACAGGGATTCAGAGTGAAGCAGTTTTGGAAGAAAACCTGGGGTCGATATTTATTGGATGATTTTCCTCTCTTGTCTTCTGTCGCCTTTCTTCTTCCAGGAGTTTAAATTGCTTTTTTGGG